TTTGAAAGTTGCTTGGGTTGTTTGGTTCTAAGCTACTCTGGGCTCGCCACGGATGTCGCGACCAATGAGGAGCAGGTGACACGAAGAGTCTAGGAGTTTGTGGAAACTACCAACAGTTGCCACCTCATCAAAGTGACACGTGTCTTCTGCTTCTCTATCTGACTCGAATTTTTCTGCTTTCCGTCTAATCCATTTATGATAGCTTTGTCCACTTTCTTGTTTGCTGAAACACACTCATTAAGAAGCTGAGGCAAAGCAACTTTGAGTCTGAGCTTTGAAGTTTGAAGTCATCGAGTTAGCAATCATATTACAGGGCGGTAGAAAACGGAGTTTCCATTTTCTCACATCCGTGAGGAGATGATGCAATCCAGATTGGCGGCCGCAGCAGCATCAAAAGTCCACCGGCTCCTCGTCTCTGCAGCAATATCACAAGATCATCAAGTTTTCCCTCCAGCTGCAGCACCTGGTAGACTTGCCTCTTCCATTTCCGGTGGTGGACGAACTGCTGATCCAGCCATCCACGCAGTTAAGCCCGAAGAAAAAGCCAAGGCCGCCAGTTCCACTAACCAATCAGAGTTCAAACCGGCCGCCACCAAGGACGAAGACCCGTATGTGCCCCCCAAATCACCCTGTTACCCTTCTTCATCTCCTCAGATACAGAGCACGGGCGTGAACCAACCCCGAGAACCCATCATCCAACAAAAACGCTACTGCACCTCCACCACCAGTAGCAGTCCTGCTCCCGTTACCCAGTCAACAGAGGCGGTGAGCTGCGCAGGCTTGGACGGCTCCCCGTGGCCGCCGGAGGGCAAGCAAGAAGGAGAGGACGACAAGGCTTACTTTGAGCACCATAAAGCCTCACCGTTATCCGAGCTGAAGATGGTTGATACTAGGAAGCCTATAACAAGGGCTACTGATGGGACGGCAGGCAATAATCAGGGGGGTTACTACGGTGGTACTGGGGTCATAGTTTGGAGGCCTGAGCAGCTGGACACCGCCGAGGATTCTCTCAGCAGAGCTACGGAGATTTGGAAAAGTAATGCGATGAGGGGTGACCCGGATTCCCCCCATGGCAGAATTCTCAGAGCTCTTCGCGGGGAGCTTTGCGTATACGAGCACGATAACTAGTATACTACAAAATTCTCTCGCACTTTTGTCTTCGTGAACTCGAAGCGAAGCTTGGGGACCTATCCGAAATGTGTGTAATTGTGGTACTAACTGTTAAGCCATTTTTAACTTGACAATAGCAACGAGTACGTACAGTTGGCAAAGCTTGCCTTTTAGCCATTTTTTAAAAGCTTCCTTGTTGAAGCTTTTGCTTCTTCATAAATTTGGACCACACATACAGGGCTTGTAAAAAAAAAAAGGGTTTTAAATGGCATCCAAAATAATTGTTTGTGGTACCGGTTCCGATAATCTCGGACGCAGTTAACTGCAACGATCTCTCCTGAAGATGGAGAGAGAAATCGCTCCTTTTTTTAAGTACCTTATGAAAACTTTTCCAGAGTTAGTTCAAATGATTTCCCTTCAATTATAAGAAAAGGGAAGGTAACATGTGCGCCTTCATCATCCATCGTGGAAGGCGTAGAGTAGGTGACCAGCGCTGAGTCGCGCCTTCAATGGGTTCTGCCTCATCTAATGTGTCTTGATGGATATTGTCATAGACGCGTGCTATTTTTTTTTTTTTTTTTTGACGCTATATCTTGGTTTTCATTGGATGGTACTCTGTTTTCTCTTCGCAGAAAGGTAATCATCAGCTTAAGAAATACTAGTAACTTTTCCTGGGTAGCAGCATCTTCAACTCCGGTGCCGGTGGATATAAGCATGACCTGCGTATCCTGAAAAGGAATGACTTTACTCCTCTCGAGAGCATTTAAGCGTTCTGCTCCGAAAGCTCAAGCAGTTAGTAAGTAGTAGTAAATCCTAAGCCATGACCGTGTGCGCAGATAATTGGCGGCACGGAGATTATTTGAAATAATATTTTTTTAACACTTTTTGTGAAACCATATGTATATTAGATTTAAAAAAAAATAAAGTGGTTGAAAATAAACACTTTTTGTGTTTATGATTGAAATTAGATTAAAAACATTTTTTTTTCCTTTTACAAATCATGCGAACCAAACGCAGCGTTGATTGTTGCTCTACCATCACCATCCCTCCTCCGTTGGCCTTGCCGATGTGGCAGCTTCTGTGTCTCGGTGCTATTGCCAAAGTGTCCAGCAAACAAACATGACTAACAACATCACGTGCCCCTTGCAATTGTCCTCCTTTCATTCAATCCAAGTTGAACTCCCATTCTTCCACTGTCCTCATCCGATATCGGTCTCCTCAACTCTTATACCCCTTTGTTCCCATTGGACCCATTTCAAATTGGTTGTGCTAATGTTTTCTTGACGCAAATGAAAACATTTTCCTGGGGCATGCTTTAAAGGAAAAGAAAGAAAGAAAAAATTCTGAAAATGTTCGTGTACGGGGGAGGAGTTCGGGGTGGCAATGCTCATTTCTTCAAGTAATCTAACTTCCCATTCCGATTACTGAATGGGCTCTTCGATTAAGTCCGTCTCCATGATACACCTCAAGATTAAGGTAGCATGCGGCGGCTTAACCAAAAGGGACTAAATTAATTATAGCCACGGAAATCGACAGGTAAACTCGGAGCGGGGCAAAAAGTGGAACGCTGCCTCCAATTTGGAATACAGATAAACCATGCCGTGTAAAGTAAGTATTATTGTTGAGCCACAAAGTCTATGAACTCGACAGCCGGAAAAAGAAAGCAGTAGCTACCACTGCGATTAGAGTTAGAGTCACGCGTAAATAGAATTATTTTTGTGGCGCAAGCAAAGATTACTGCTAGTCACATCTTTATTCTACCACCAAGCATCATTATACAACAACAACAGAAACAGAAATAGAAATACGGGGAGAAGAATGATGGATAACCTCACAACAACACAATAGTTTGTGATGATATCATATTCCTCGAATAGGGACTCTACTGTACTTGATTACGGCAGGATGAAAGCTGTCTTCTCCATTCATCCTTTTCTCCCAGGATGTTGTGTCGACGTCTATTCTCCCAGGTGCTCCTTTATACTGATTAGATTATGCTAAAACGCACCGAAATTGCATCAACATAACAGTAACAGTTACGGTAGCTGGCGCTCCTCTAGTTTAATTAGTTTGGCAACTTATGCTCAAGTCACCAATAGAGAGATGAAGACGAAGGGGAGAAAAATAATTGTAAGCAGACAAAGAACAGTGGGTTCCCTCTTCAATGCTACTGAAATCGATGGAGTGCTGTAATTGTAATATGGATAGTACGGAACAGCTTGGTTCGGTGGGGGATAGTAGGAGCCGCCGCCACCACCTGCAGCCGGGGAGGGATTTGAAGATTCCCCTGGCGGGGGTGGTGAGTAGTAGGATGAGCCAGAAGAAGGGGGTGGTGGAGGGCACTCAGGGAGTAGCGGGGGTTGAGGAGGAGGCGGAGGGCAGTAGGACTCTGGGATTTGTGGAGGAGGGGAAGGAGGCGGGGGTGAAGGTGACGGTGGCGGTGGCGGTGGGGGAGGAAAGATTGGTTGACGTGGGTTGGAACAGGCTGAGCACATTGTGCAAGAGATTTGGTCCCTAGCCATGGCAGTTACAGTGGACATGGCTTCAGAGACTCTGCCGTGCGTAATAATAATACCAGTCAAGTACACAAGGGCAGTGAATGATAGGCTTAGGCTCCCCATCGTCCAAAATGTTGAGACTTTCACAATTCAATTCAATTCAATGAAAGGGGGGTTGAGGCCGTCTGTCTGTCTGTCTGTCTTGATAGTATATTACTATATTCGATGCCGCACTACAGAAGGGCCCTAGCGGGTGGGAGGAAGGCGGAGGTTGGAAAATGGAAGTAGAGAAGTGAGGGAGGTGGAATGGGTGAAATTAAAATTGGGTACTCAGTCACTCCTGGGAACGTGGTGTAGATTTTCAAGGTGCGTTTGGAAAAGCGAGTGTTGGCGGAATGGAGTTGACGCGATCTGAGTTGTTAACATGTGTGCGCAATAGAAAGAGCGTCGTCCTGTCCCAGTACAAAAAAAATAATTCAAGGCACAGCGTTCGTCCATATCTGTTTTGGTATCATCTACGCCACCATTTCGTTATCTTCATTCATCCTGGCAGGCCTTCGCGAAATTTTGTTGTGACATCAAGCCTGTCGGTGCGCCGACATCCTCTTTCATTTTTTTTTTTTTTTCCTTCCATGTGGATTCGATTTCATCGATGCAACAAAGGTTGTCGAGGCTGCTTCACTTCTCATGCAACATTTTACATGCCAAGTGTGACCTTACTTGCCTCGCCAATCTTAAAAAGCCAGAGCTGCACTCATAATATATAATACATGTCAAACATAAATGGTAGCAAATGCAGGAAATTAAAGATAAACAAAAGTTTAGGTTGAGGTCTTCATTTGAGGTTGTCTTTGACTCTTAATTGATTTTGGCAAAAAAAAAAAAAAAAGTAGGAAATAAATAATATTCATTAGTGTTCATTTCCTGAAAGAAATGCCAGATTGGTTAGCTAGGCAGCTGATTGAAAGGTTAGGTCGAAGCCAAAGGTTTGATCCCACCAACCAACCCACGATTTCGCAAAATCAGCATCCAGCCGTTGGATGATCAAGGGCTTGCCGGCACATCAACTCTTTATAGCAACAAATTATCCGCCATTTCATTTGTTTTTGAACATTCAAAATGTTGTGCTGTTTTAAAGACAAAACAAAGCACAATCACAAAACACACAAACCCAATGCAGTATATGTCATCTACGAGATATTCTAATTCTACTGTGCAATTCAGCCAAAAACCGCCATGGCACCACCAAAAAAATACTACATGCAATCACGCAGAAATTGCAGATGCATCCTCAAAGCCTTACTTTCACGCACGCACGTCTTCAATTTTTCCGCCTTACTAATATATTGCTTTATATTTCCAATGGTTTTTTGTTCGTGTAACAAATGTCAGATGATAAGCGAAGCCATCACCTCGCTGAAGGATAGACATGGTTCGAGCCAGCCTGCCATAGCAAAATTCGTTGAGCGAAAGTACCCAGAATTGCTTCCACCAAATTTCAAGAAACTCCTGTCTATTCAGTTGAAGAAGTTTGTGAGATCAGAGAAGCTGACCAAAGTGAAGAACTCCTATAAGATCTCTGCTCCCAAAAAAAGTGGTCGTAGAATCTGCAAAGAAGATCCAGCCCGAGGCAACTGCTACGAGGAGGGCTGCGGCCAAGAAAAGCAATGCTCGTGGACATGGACCCAGCACGAACAAAAGGAGGGCAAATGAGAAGGCCTTGAAGAAGATGAAGAGGCTGAGTCAGGTGGAGACTCCGGTGGCTTTGAAGAAAAATTCTAGAGGATTGGTCACGACCGTCAAGGGGTCCATTACTGGAGCAAAGATGAAGCGGTTGCGTCAGGTGAAGACCCCCGAAACACTGAAAAACAAGAATGCAGCCAGCATTCCTGCGAAGAAGATCACAAGTTATTACCAACTCCATGTCTTCAAAATCACCAAACGCTGCTAGGCCCGATTGCCAAGAAAACTAGGAAATGATCGTATTCATTTCATAGGGTGATTAATTATAGTTGAATGATTGTGAACTAGTAGTGCTACATACATCCAGTTGGACTTGGAGTGTCTGGTTAAGGCTAAGTATTTCTACGGTTAATTGCACTTTGCATACCCGAATTATTTGCAGTTGGCATTTTGCCCCGTAAGCTATTGTTTGCTGTCTCAAAAGTTCAGCCATTTTTTTTTTGGGCGTTGCAAAGTAACGATTTGAATACCAATCAAATTAGGTTATTAAAATACTTTACAGAATGCTTAAGAGTTTGAGAGCCTATGTTGCTAAAATCGATAGTTTAGAGGCACACCGCTAATAGACCTTCAATTTTTTTTTTGGGGAGGGGGGGTGCCGCAGGTGAAAAAAGAACAGGAGGATTAAAAAGGAACTTAAGTCTTGCAAATTGGCCGCCAGGTTCGGTTGTGAAATGTCAGGCTCATCAATAGCTTTGATGATCAGAAGTTGTGATGGGAGTTTTGCTTATGGGAGAAGGAGGCATGGAAGAACGGGATGAATATTTAAGTATAGAAAGTGATTTTTTTTTTATAAAAAAAAAAATCATTTCATTCAATCAAATATGCACTAATGGCAGAAAATACAATAAACAATAGATATAGATCTGAAATCAATAGATATAACGATCTAAAAAAATATAAATAAAAATAACATTGATGCTCTTATATATCTTCTATTCGGATGAATCACTGTAACTCAAGACATCAGTACACGTATCTTGAAAATTAGATCTGGGAAACTAGATTCTAAATTGACAAAACAACAAATTTCATAACGATAAAAATCTAAAAGAACTCTCATAAGGAAAAACCCAAAAGATAATAAAACTTTTATTAGAACAATTTAGAAGAGAAGAAACTCTAGATTTGGAAGAAAATATCAGATTTGGTCTCTCTCCCGTGGAAGAGATGAAGAAGATCTTGATTGGAAAAGTTCTAGGGAGAAAGGAGAGAAAAGCGTCTTAGATGTGCGTTTAGAAAGTGATTATAAATCGCAATTAGCAAAAACAATGATTTTAGCAATTATTTGAACATGCGATTGTGATCCAGATGTTTGTTGCAAAATTGTTTGATCATTTGGGGGGTAAATTTGAAAAGGAAAAAGATAACAAAAATTTACACCAAGCCTGGTTTTTCCTTTATGTATGGTAGAGACAATCAATTCAATTATTCTTAAATTATCCAATACAGCTAATAAACCTATAAATTCCCTTTTCCACATTGAAGCTGCTATATGTTGACGAGATGCACCCATCGTCCCTCATTCTTTTTCTTTTTATTAAAACATTTTTTTTATTTATTTTACCAACTACCAATTGAGATTATAAGTAATTACCAAATAACTATCCTTTTAGAATTTTTACATCATTAAATTCTTTTAATATTTAGTATAATAACGTAAAATCAATTTTTATGAAAAAGTTTCTACGGGTACTTTTAAAAAAAAAAAATTAATGACATGTACCTCTGGTGTGCCTACATATCTTGTAAATTTAATGCATAGGGAAATTTTTTTTTTTTTTGGGTATCGAATTGCTAGTTTCGGTCCATATTCAAAATGTGGAATTTACAACCTGTACGTGCAATTTGAAAAAGTTTTCTAATTAAATCAATAGAAATGTCAAAAATAAAATATGGAAAAGTAATATGTATGATTGTTGCTTTAGTCACGCTTACATTTATAAATAAGTACGGAGTACAACAAAAGTGTTGAAGTAAAATGATCCGATGCCATATGACTTCAAAAGTGGGGAAAGATAAAAAGCAAAATTTAATACAAAAAGGATCAAAAAAATTCGAGTTTATTGCCATTATGATCTTCCTCTTAAAAAATATTTCCAAAACTAATACAGTTTCAAATTTTATTCCCTTGTTAATATGTTTGTTGCCCTGGGGACTTTAAATATGAAAAACTAATCACTTTTAAACTTTCGCTCTTATCTTCTTTGAACTTGAGAGGTAAATCCCATTAATGTGAGGACCCGCAAATTTCCTACATTTTTCCTCAAAAATGCCTTTTATTTGAAAATTATTATTTATTAAGGCCCCCTACCTCATTATATCACACTAAGTGTAAATAAACCTAGAAAATAAGGTTTTTCGCTTTGGTTTCAAGTTTTGAGCAAAATTAGGGTTTTTGCGATTTTTCCGCCGGATGAATTTTCGGTACTGGCCAAGGATCAATTTTATGATTAAAGGTGACTTTTAAGTGAGAAATAATATGTGAGTAGTAGCAATGATATAAGGTTAGTGAATGGGAGGTAAAAACCCTAGTACGTGAGTTTTTAAGAAAACGGCGCGAACCGGCGGGTCCCGCGCATTACCGATTGAACGCACCGCTTGACCACCATTTTTCTTACCCAACAAGTTTGTTGACTTTTGTACATAATATCTTCTCTCTTGGCAGCATGTTGACCGAAATTTGTGGCTAAGAAAGGCAAGAAAGAAAGAGAAAAAGAAAGGGTGGTGGTGGTGACACTTGTCACCACCTCATGGCTTCTTAACCAAGACCATTGCTAACCACTTAAGTCCAAAACTTAGCCATTCCTTCTTCATTTTCTGCTGGTCTGGCCGAACTTAGCAAGGAGAGAAACACCAAGGAAGATTTCTTCATTTCATCTCCAACTCCAACAAATAAGTGAGGAATCAAGCGAAGTAAACCGATTAAACTTGTTTTCTAGTGACTAGCTAGTGAGTGGTGGTGTGAGTTTTGAAGGGAAGAGCTTGTGCTACTCTTGGTGACTCTTAATCAAGGTAAGAGGATGATATCTCTCTAACTTTCTCTTTCAATCATGGTTAAAGTAAGCTTAGTAGCTTGATTGGTGGTAGATTCATGGATGCTAGCATGTGTAGAAGTTTTTCCCCAATTTGTGTGATGAACTAGGGTTTCTGATTTTCTGCCCAAATGATTGTATGATGTTTATATGTTGCAGTTGAGGTGTTATATGGTGTTTTGGTAGTGATTGGGCCAAGAAATTAAGGAAAGATTCACTAAAAACAACAAATTCCAGAATCTGGAAAATTTCTGCTTGCATTCTGTCCGAATTTTTAGGTATATGTTAGAGGCTGTTTTGGCCTTTGGTCAAAGAAGGAAAGTTGTAGGGAATGGTATTTTGTAGGTGCCTGTAAAATTTCAGCTCAATCGGAGCAACGTAGGATGTGAAAAGTCCAAAATACCCTTACTGTTCAAGGTATTTCCCAGCAGTCCGTTTCTTCAGTTCAGTCCAGTTTATCACGATTTTTGACCAGGATCCATTCTGATTTAGCTCTGGGCCAAAACATAAAAGTTGTAGTGTTCTGAAGTAGCTTTAAAATGCCTCAAAGAAAACCTGATTCGGACTTGTGTACACTGAGTTAGGTCCGCTACAGCATAATGCGTTTAAACTGCCGGTGAATTGGTTTCTGGTTTAGTAATCTGAGATTTTGACTAAGTTACATTAGGAAATGGACTAAGTGACCTTCGTGAATGTTGTAGCTCTGTGTCTTAGCTTCGAAACGGCGTAGGTTTTGTTTTAATCCGACAAGCGTAGCCTCGGATATGGTATTTCCGCATCTGTACGTCAAATCTGTCTTGAACTGAATTGCGTTTCTGCACTTGTACTTAATACGATTCTTGTTGTTATGATATTGTGAGCCTATGGAACGGCTCTTGACATAAATTGCTGATTGTATGATGTTGGGATGTTGTTGAAGAAAAATAATGAAGCCTAAATGGCTGGAAATTAGGTAAACACAAAGGGCACGCTGTCCGAATTTTTACTCGAAGTCTAGGAAACTATCTTTGCGACTTGAGTGAAGGTTAAGTGATTAATCCTTGAACTATCGAGGACCTTTGTCATTTGTTTATCAAGGGTTATATGTTAGGACTTGGCCGAACTTGTACCCTTAGGAAAACGATATGAAACATTACGAAACCGTTTTACTTGCACTTTTGACTCAAGAGTCATCTTCAAGCAAAAATGTTATCAAATTTTTCAGTTTAAAGAGCGAGCAACTATTTCACGACTCTTCTCCAGTGACTTTCAAATTCTTGATTCTTATTGAACGAAACGCTTAAGTTTCGAACCTTGGTTGATTTCAAAGTTCTCAAGTAAAGTTTTATCGCAGATTTGGACTCCCAACCCGGAGTACCACCTCGACGCGAAAACTAGAAGCACTATTGTGGTGAGTGCTTCCAAATATCCGATTGTACTTGATATGTGTACTCCCTACTTGACTTGCGTGATTACATGACAATGAATGAAAGGGCAAGGGTGTACTTTATCGCACTTGCCCTAATATGACCTGTTCTTGCTATTGATCATACTTGACTTGTTGTACATGTACTTGAATTTTATCTTGCCTGAAATTCCAGAAACCCTGTGGCGAGTTAATCGAGTCGAGCCGGCAAGGGCTTGGTCGATTAGATAACAAACCCTGGGTCACTTGTAATGTCGAGTGGAGTGTTATCTCCTCGACTAACGGTATACTCGAGTATTACCACCCATGTTTGTATGGCGTGCGGGCCCGGGATAGGGGGTTGATCGGTGGACGGAAATTGGCGTGTAGCGGAGTTTATTTGGACTTGGAATTACTTGAAAGTTGACGGAGTGTCAACTACCACTTGACCAAGCTGGAATGGAGCCGTAACATGAATACCGTATCCTTATATGTGAATGTGCATCTAATACTACTTGACTAGCTGAAGTATTATTTCCCTGATTTGACTTGCTTGCTCGCTACTTCACTTTTATTTTACTATAACTTGGTTGCTGATCAATTTGATATTTGGGAACTCCACTGAGCTTTGGCTCACCCCGTTAGTTTGTTTTCCTTACAGGGGTACGAGTAACGCGAGAGACTTGTAAAAGACTAGTGTAGCCTTTTGTTTTGACTTTTGACTTTTTGGTCTTGTACTCGCGCTATTCCTCGAACGAAATATGTTGTACTTGGATTGTATACATTTGT